GCTCTCTTGGTTCCTCTTGGCTGATTCCTGGCTTGCAGGGCTCTGGCTCCTGCTTCCTGGCATTCTCCTTTGGGGCCCACGGCCATGTGGATCCCACACACAATGGACTAATGAACTGCAACTAGCCTGATGCTGAACTGGACCCAGCTGCAATATGGAATGGAAACTCTGCACACTGGCTTTCTCTTTAGCTCTACCAAATCCCCAACTACACTTCTTCCAGGACTGGATTAAGGGAAATGGGATGTTTGAAACACAGAGATGAAAGTCTATACAAATGAAAATCACTTATCCTCCTGTGCGAATCTCAGAAAATTCTTTTTCTTAAGATACTGTAAGGACTCCACCCCCAGCACAATAACAACTTGATTCTCCCCTTTTCCTGTGCATAAAATTCAGATGGAAAGACTTGCTGTAGGAAAGAAATCTTAGCTTACTCATCTTGCCCTAATTTGAATTAAGTATGATGGATAGGAGGGCTCCAAGCGGGGGCCTGGTAACTAGATTACTCCTTGAGTCCCACCGATTCTGGGTTGCCTAGTAAGAATGTGCCTACAGCCTGGTCAGCATGGCTCAGTGGTTGAGAAACAACCTATGAACCAGGAGTCACAGTTCCATTCCCAGTCAAGGCACATGCCCTCATTGCAGGTTCGATCCCCAGTATGGGGTGTGCAGGAGGCAGCCAATCAATGATTCTGTCTCATCATTGATGTTTCTATCTCTCTATTCCTCTCCCTTTCTTTCTGAAATCAATAAAAATGTATTTTTTAAAATGCACTGACGAAGCTTGTTCTGCTCTTCCTCAACTAGCTGTGAGATCTCAGACTCCTACCCCCTTTCTCCTTTGTCCACAAAGACATATAAACTTCAACAGCCCAATGTATTGGGGTCATATTTCATGACAACCCCTGGCATGTACATCTGTAATAAACTTCGGACCTTTTCTCCTGTTAATCTGTCTTTGTTAATTTGATTATTGTAGGAAATAGGCCTCTGTGATCCATCTTCAGCATGGACCACTTTTAGAGAAAACTAACAGCATGTGGCCAGTTGGTTACTGAAGTTTCCCAGAACAAAAAGGATGTAGGGAGGAGGGGAGAGGGTATAAGAACAAAAAACTGTATATGTGACCAGTAGCACATTTTCAAAGAAGACTTGCCACAGCTAAACAAAGGGAGGTGGAGATAACTAGAAAAGGCCTCAACTCATTTATTTTTAAATAATCCAATGGGAGACAATAGACCTAGGCAATGTATGGAGAAAACTGTTAACCCCATAGTACTCAACCAATGAGGAACTGGGGGAGGGACTCTCACACACTAGGAATAAAAAGCCTGTGATCACCGCTCCAAGTGTGTGCCTGTTCAACCAGACAACTGATCTTGCAAGACCGCATTAAAAGTCTTGTTTTCGCCATTCCTCTGTCTTTGAGTCCATTATTTGAATTTGCAAAAGTGAGCGTTTCTCACAATTATTAACTGGGAAAAAACATAAAACTATTTGTTTAGCCCTCAAAAAGAATACTCAAGTTTTAAATTATATGTAAACTAGGGGCCCAGTGCATGAATTAGTGCACCTTTAAAGGAACTGTGGGCCTTGAGGATAAGGTGGGCACAGGGGCAGGTCTCGGCCCATCCTCCATGCCCCCGCCCAGCCCCACCCGCCACATCCCTTGGTCCCCTGTCTGCCAGCAGCCCCTCTCCCGCCTCCACTCCTACACACTGATGGCACTGGCCCCACTCGCACCCGCTGACAGCGAAGAGTGATTGGGGCCGGCGCCAGCAGCGGGTGCGAGCAGGGCCAGTAATGTCAGCAGGTGCGAGCGGCAGCTGCTGCCCCAATCACCCCTCAGAAGCAGAGGGAGGTGGAGAAGAAAACAGGAGCAATCAGAACCAGAAGCCGCCGCTCATACCCGCTGATGGTGTGGAGCGATTGGGACCGGCTCCAGCACCGGCAGTGGGTGCGAGCGGGGCCGGAGCTGGCAACAGGTGCGAGCGCTGGGCAGGACCGCGGCACACGGGTGCAAAGAATTTTCAGTAACCACCAGAGGCTCCCCCTGCCATGGTCACCTGCTCCACCATCCCACCGTAGCCGACGCCCGCCATGTTTCACACTCTGCCACCTGCTGCCGATGTCTGCCATGTTCCACGCACGCCCCATGTTGGTCAGTGCACATCATAGCAACCGGTTGTTCGGTTGTTCTGCTGTTCGGTCTATCTGCATAGTAGGGTTTTATATATATACTAGAGGCCCGGTGCACAAAAATTTGTGCACTCGGGGGGGAGGGGGGTCCCTCAGCCCGGCCTGTGCCCTCTCGCAGTCTGGGACCCCTTGGGAGATAACGACCTGCTGGCTTAGGCCTGCTCCCGGGTGGCAGAGGGCAGGCCCAATCCCTAGGTGCAGCCCCTGGTCGGGCTCAGAGCAGGGCTGATTAGGGAGTTGGGGCGCCGACCCCTGTCATGCACAGAGCAGGGCGGATCAGGAGGTTGCGATGCCACCCTCAGTCACGCTCAGGGTAGGGCCGATTGGGGGGTTGGGGCACCGCCCCGTCACACTCAAGGCAGGGTCGATGGGGAGGTTGTGGCGCCACCCGCTGTCACTCACAGAGCAGGGCCCATCAGGAGGTTGAGGAGCTCCCCCCTGTCACTCACAGAGTAGGGCTGATAGGGGAGTTGGGGCACCGCCCCCTGTCATACACAGAGCAGGACCGATCAGGGGGTTGGGGCGCCGCCCTCTATCACCCACAGAGCAGGGCCGATCAGGGGATTGGGGCGCCGCCACTCTCACACTCAGGGCAGGGCCGATGGGGAGGTTATGGCTCTACCCCATCACACACAGAGCAGGGCCCGTGGGGGGGCTGGGGGCGCCGCCCTCTATCACCCACAGAGCAGGGCCGATCAGGGGGTTGGGGGGCCGCCACTCTCACACTCAGGGCAGGGCCGATGGGGAGGTTATGGCTTTACCCTATCACACACAGAGCAGGGCCTGTGGGAGGGGGAGGGGGGAGTTGGGGCGCCACACCCTGTCACACACAGAGCAGGGCCAATCAGGGGGTTGGGGCGCCGCACCCTGTCACACACAGAGCCGCAGGGCGATCAGGGGGTTGGGGAGCTCCCCCTATCAGGCACAGAGCAGGGCTGATCAGGAGGTTGGGGCGCCTTCCCCCGTCACAAACAGAGCAGGGCAGATAGGGAGGTTGTGGCCCCGCCCCCTGTCACACACAGAGCCACAGGGCGATCAGGGGGTTTGGGCGCTGCCCCCTGTCACGCTGATCCCGGTGCCAGGAGGCCTCTCGGCTCCGCTGATCCCAGTGCTGGGAGGCATATTACCCTTTTACTATATAGGATAGAGGCCTGGTGCATGGGTGGGGCTGGCCAGTTTGCCCTGAAGGGTGTCCTGGACCAGGGTGGGGGTCCCCACTGGGGTGCCTGGCCAGCCTGGATGAGGGGATGATGGCTGTTTGCAGCTGGTCACACACCCTTCAGGGTGGGGGTCCCCACTGGGGTGCCTGGCCAGTCTGGTGAGGGGCTGAGGGCTGTTTTCAGGCTGGCGGGTGACTGAAGCTCCCAACTGCTCCTTTTTTTCTTTTTGTTTTTATTCTGGGCCAGCTTTAGCTCTGGCTCCAGCTCTAAGGCCTCTGCTGCTGAAAGCAGGTATCTAATTTGTTTGGGTTCTATAATCAAAACAATGTATAACTCCAGCTCTGAGATCCCGGCTGCTGAAAGCAGGTTTCTGGGCTTTTGTTTAGCTTCTATATTTATTACAATGTTTCAAACTGCAGGCTCAGAGGCCGGCAAGGCAGGCGGGGAACGTTGGTTTCCTCCGTCACTGAAGCAAGCAAGCCTCATGTTCGCTTCCAGCTGCCGGGCTGCCGGCCACCATCTTGGCTGGCAGTTAATTTGCATATTGCCCTGATTAGCCAATGGGAAGGGTAGCGGTCGTACGCTAATTACCATGTTTCTCTTTTATTAGATAGGATATAGATAGATAGATAGATAGATAGATAGATAGATAGATAGATAGATGTCACTTTATATTTCTACTAGAGGCCTGGAGATGGGATTTGTGCACTGGTGGGGGTGTGGCCTGCAGGGACTGGCCCTCTGTGGGAGCGCTCATCCTGGTCAGCTGAGTGGCTGTGGACCCGCCATCTGAGCGGCTGCTCCCTGGTCTGGAATCTTCCATGGAGCCAGAGCACTTGCCTCTCCAGGGGACCCGATCGAGGCCAGGCCCCAGGACAATAGCACTGAGAGGCGGCGGAGTAGCTCTCAGTCCCGGGGCAGCCACAAACCCACCTCCCAGCTTCCAGGGTCAGCACTGTGAGCCTGGCGGCAGCACTGCACAGCCTGTGGGTGTCTGGAGGAGGCATCAGGGAGCAAGGAGGAGCCTGGGGTAAGAAGACGATGATCACAGCCCAGGTTCCTGTCGGCCCGGGGTTCGCAGCAGGAGCAGCTGCTCATCCCGGTCAGCTGTGGTACTGCACTGACCACCAGGGGGCAGCTCCGGCGTTGATCGTCTGCCCGACTGGTTGACCGGTCGTTCTGATGGTTCTACCATTTGGTCCCTGGGCTTTTATTATATAGGACTGGACAGAACTGCCATCGAACCTTATGGTCCAATGATATAAAAAAATGATCCTAAATGTATATATTTCTACTTCATAGTAGTATTACAAGGAAGTCAATACGACTCTTAAGTATGAATGTAATAAAATTTTAAAAATCTTTGTTATTGGTCTATCAGAATGCATATTATCTGATAGATTTTCATTCCCAAAATGTAATTTTGTTCCCAATTACCTGCTAGAATTAAGTAATTGGGGGAAAATATTATTTACACTGATTTCCTCAGCTAAAATTTCCATTCTCTCCATATTGTCCTGGTTTCATGCTTTCAAAGTCTGCAAACTCAATCTTACGTTTCTCCCCCAGATATTTTAAAAGCACCTGGTACAGATGGACACTGAAAAGTGGTTGATAACTGAAAGAAAAGCACACTACCTGGACAAGCACACTGCAGCAGAGCGATTGATTTGCCTCCAGGAGCAGCACACAGGTCCAGAACCTTCTCTCCGTCCCTTAATTCAAGAGCCAGTACTGGGAGGAGAGAGGCAGCATTCAGGAGATAGTATTTTTTTAGGTTTCCAATTTGGTGTCTTTCTGAAGGTATCCGGTGGGGAATTCTGCTAAGATAACACTTCAATGATTTAGGATAATAGGGTAAAGATCCTTGAAAGAGTGTGTGATAGCCCTTGAAATGTAAATCCTTTTCCAGTTCAAAAGGGTAATTGAATCGGTTAAGAAGAACAGCATGTTGCCAGCATGACGGAGATGTTAGTATATCCCTAGAAATACAAAAACAAAAGAATATTATTATAAACACTAATACAATTTTATATTACTAATCTAGGAACTGTGGTCCTAGTTTTACATTTTACTTACCTGAGATTTTCAGAGCCAAGATTACTGACTTTCCTTTTGACTCAGGCTCCGATATGACTCTACCCAGCACTTATAATCCTGTCTTTATTTCAATCTTCGACATTTTGTTCATCTTTGCTTTTTATATCAATTTTGGCCATTAAAATATTATTTATGTTGATTATAGATAAATAAATGTTAGGTGCCCTTAAAATTCTGCAATGTTGAGGAATGCCTCACTTGCCTCAGCTTAGTCCCTCCCTGCAGAATATCTTGCCAAAAAAAACACACAAAAAACCATGGACTGCCTTTACATATCTCTAAATCCATCAAAATAGATTCTAGTCAATCATTCTTTGCACAAGGAAGTGTTTTTCTTAGAGACAAAATTTAAAACCTGAGACTATTAATATCAGAAGGAAAATTACTATCATTAAAGGATGTTTAAATTATGTGTTAAAATTTTCCTTATGAAGATAAGAGTATGGAAAGCTAACTACAGTGAACTGTACAGTAACAGAGTTAATGAAGTGATCAGTGGATGGCTGAAAAATCTCTTATGGATGGTGCAGGCTCTCACTCCTTCCCGCAGCAAATTTAACTTCCTAATGTTTTATTTAGTCCAACAGTTAGGTCTCTTGACAATCACAGGTTCTCATCAACTGGCAGATGATACACCAGGAAATATTTAATTGATCTATGAGCTGACCTTTCTAGCTGAGTTATTTGGCAGCCTCATTAACCATCGTCAATTAAATAAATTCCAGCTGCTGCTCACCCTGGAGGTGTCCATGTGAGGAATGGCTGAATTGAAATGTAACACCTGTGACTTGAAGTGTGCCACGTGAATTTCCATCAGGAGCTTATTTGTAAGTCTGCTTTCTCCTTTTTATTATGATGGTGCATCATATGAGCCCCGTGCATCTGTTTCAGCATTCTAGAGGATGACAAACCCTTTCTTTAATAATGTGCTTCACAAACTTTAGCATGCATCCAGTGTCCGTAAAAGACTGCTGGGCGCTAATGCCAGAGTTTCTGATCCAGTAGGTAGTATGTGGGGCCTGAGAATTTGTATTTCTAGTTGGGTCTCATAGGATACTGATACTGCAATCACAAGACCACTCTGGAGACCACTGCATTAAAATGAGCCTCAAAGGGAAATCCGTGAATGCCACTAACGTAAATCTTATGTCAGTCCATCCTGATCTTAACTCTGCAAACGGTAAAAATCTACCCAAGGTTCTGAGTCATGTAGTAACAGGGAAATAATGACTAGAAACGTAATTAATACAGATTGGAGTGGCTTGGCTTACATCACGTGTCCACCCTTAACTGATAAGGGTAGAAAACTTCCAATTGGTTAATATCTGACGGGGCAAATCTCCGTTCTTTTTTTTTTTTTCATAATTTCCAAATCTACTTTATGTTTATTCTTTCAGATGAACTTTAGAATCAGGTAGTAAGTTTAAAATAATTATAAAACATCTGTGCAGCTAGATAGTAACTTTGATTAGAATTATATTAAATACACTAAATTTGGGGAGAATTAACACCTTTATTGTATTCAGTACTTCCAAACCTAACCACAGTATTTATTCACCTTTCTTCCAGATCCCTTAGTAAAGGTTATTAATCTCACACAGTTCCTTTTAGCCTTATTGTATAAAAGAACTGTTAGCTTAGGAACACAACCGATTTTTGTACATCATCCACTATCTTGAAGGATGAGGAGGAATTTGCCATAGGACGCAGTGAGAAAGGAAATTCCAGGGTGAAGGCAGCGGCACATGTCCAGGCACGAGGTTACGAAGGACAGTGAGTGCATTTTGGGAATTAAAAGCAGTCCATTGTGACTTGTGAGAGACAATTATATGGGTGAAATATAATATGATAAAGTTTTAAAACTGTATGTTATAAGTGATGGGAAGTCACTCGAAGAGTTTAGGGGGGAAGCCTGTTAGACTCAAGAACAAGTGCTTATGGCAGAGGAAGGCAAGAATCTTCTGAAAGTATCTCTCATTCTTTAACAACACCATCAAAATAAAGCCCTACTTAGAACAAATACATTTTCTGATCCCTCCTAACTCACACCCAGCCCTACTGAAGTTCTAGAATTTCCTGTACCAAGTTTTCTTCAATCTTTACCAGGTTCAATATAAAGTGTTCCCTCTGCCTAGAATGAACTCTCCTCTTTCACCCACTTGTAGCCTGGCTGGCTCTCCTACTCTCTACTGGAGGGCAATTCAGGCTTTATTTCTTCAGGGAAGGCTTTCTACCTACCCAATCCACCTCACCCAGATTATATTAATAACTAGAGGCCCGGTGCACAAAAATTTGTGCACTCAGGGGAGTCCCTCAGCCCCGCCTGTGCCCTCTCGCAGTCTGGGACCCTTCCGGGGATGTCCACCTGCTGGTTTAGGCCCGATTCAAGCTGGCAGTCAGACATCACTCTGGCAGCCCGGGAGCCCTCGGGGGATGTCCACTTACCAGCGGGGAGCAGGCTTAAGCTGCAGTCAGACATCCTTACTGAGAGGCTCCCGCCACCACCGCTGTGCTGGCAGCCGTCAGCCTGGCTTGTGGCTGAGCAGAGCTCCCCCTGTGGGAGCACACTGACCACCAGGGGGCAGCTCCTGCATTGAGCATCTGCCCCTGGTGGTCAGTGTGTGTCATAGTGACCAGTCATTCCCAGTCGTTCTGCTGTTAGGGTCAGTTTGCGTATTACCCTTTTATTATATAGGATAGAGGCCTGGTGCACAGGTTGTCCCAGATCATGGTGGGGGTCCCACTGGGGTGCCTGGCCAGCCTGGGTGAGGGGCTGATGGCCCTTTCCAGGTTGGCCACGCCCCCCGGCGACCTAAGCGCCCAGCCTCTCCTTTTTTTCTTTTTTTTCTGGGATTTACCTTCTATAATTAAAACTTTGTAGCCTTGAGCGGAGCTCAGGGCTGGCCAGGGCAGGTGGGAAGCTTGGCTTCCTCCATTGCCGGGGGCAACCCAAGCCTCCTGCTCTGTGGCCACCGCCATCTTAGTTGAGTTAATCTGCATACTCACTCCAGACTGGCTTGTGGGCATGAGCGTAGCAGAAGGATGGTTAATTTGCATGTTTCTCTTTTATTATATAGGATAATTAAAATTACTGGTCAGATGATTACAATGTGCATTCTGCATGCTTACCTCATTTAACCATCACAACTGTGGTTAGGTAACTGAAGCTTTTAGAAATTAGACATCTTACCCAAGGACACATTGCTATTAAAAAGTACCTAATTCAAAATCTGGCTGGCTTCAAAACTTAACAGGGTGTGAGACTCTGGTACTGTAGCACTAATGTACACAACAGAAAGGAACAGAGAACTTTTACTCTAACCTTCACCTAGTGCAGTGATGGTGAACCTTTTGAGCTCGGCGTGTCAGCATTTTGAAAAACCCTAACTTAACTCTGGTGCCATGTCACATATAGAAATTTTTTGATATTTGCAGCCACAGTAAAACAAAGACTTATATTTTTGATATTTATTTTATATATTTAAATGCCATTTAACAAAGAAAAATCAACCAAAAAAAATGAGTTCGTGTGTCACCTCTGACACGCGTGTCATAGGTTCGCCATCACTGACCTAGTGCCTGTGGCCCCACCTTCCTGCTATTGTCTCTAAGAAAAGGGAAGAACTTGACACATGCTGCAACAGGACCAACTCAGTGAAAATATTGCTCAGGCTGCTCAGGTTGGTGCTTCCTAGCCCTGAGAAAGCAAACTGGCGTATTAATGTGGGTCTCAGCTACCCCTTCACACACACACCCCCACCCACTCCCTGCAGGTGAACTCCCCTCCCCCCAATTCAGACAGGCACACACCCTCCAGTGCTTGAACTGGTGGGATAACAACCTGGGGCTGGCAGGAAAGAGGCTACTCAAGTCTAAAGCTCTGATGGGTGGGCTAGCAATCCAACAGATAGCAGAGTGAGTGCACATTAGAAGAGTCAAGACAACGCTGGCCAGGTGCCATACTCCAGGCCTCCTCCCAAGATCCACGAGGAGGAGAGTGAAGCTGCTCCACACACTTACTGATCTCCAAAGCCAGAAGTTCAAGTACACCAGTAGCCAGCAGAACTGGGACCCAAAACGTCAGTGGCTGCCAACTATTTTGCTAGGATATTCACTGATATCATTGTAATAACAACGATGTACCCTCTGGTACATTTTCAGTTGACATCAAAATCTTCATATGTTCAAGAATGTGATTTCTAGTATACTGTAAAAAAACTGACATTTAAAATGTTATATTACTTTTTCAAGTGTATCCCATAGAACCTAAATATCAGAGTGATTTTGAAACCCATTATTGTCCATTTAAACTTCATGGACTATTCTTGAACAGATGAAAATTTTACACTGTTCCTTTTTCTCTTTTACTTACATTCTATTTTCCTATATAACTTTATCCTAAAATATTACTGTGCTTTTTATCTTTTTTTACTATCCTATACTTCTTTGACACACACACATACACACACACACACATATGTATATACTAAATTTGCTTTCACTGTGGCCTTAAATCTCTAAATGTTAAAATGGTAACTTCTGGATTCAGTTATAAATATAATTATTAACACTAGTTATCAAAATAACATCACAAATTTGATAATTATTCAACATAAAAAGGAAAGACTGATAGAAAACGATCTCTTAATGAAATTAGTGTTTGTTTTTTCATATATCCAGGGATAAATATACCTGGTGCTATGATTCAGATATTCAACATCAACTTTAGCTCTATTTTGTGATTTTATAAGGGCCGAGAAAGAGCCTCACTTAAATAAGTGGGTGAGAATTAAATACATTTGTTATAGCAATGTCTCCCTTTTGTTGAAATTTTTTCCAAGTTATATTCCCAAATAACTTATTATCATCAAAAATATTTTAA